CTGGCTAACACGTGGTGAAAACCCGCGTCTGCTACGAAAAAAATACAAAGAAAAGCTGAGCCCGGCGACTGTGTGGCGGGCCGCCTGTTGTAGTCGCAGCTACTCAGGCTGAGACTGGCGCAGGAGAAATGTGGGCGGTGAAACCGGAGTCGGAGCCTGTAGGCCGCAGTCGGAAGCTGAGATACTGGCCCACAAAGCCCGCACTCCAGCCTGGGCGACAAAGCGAGACTCCGTCTCAAAAAAAAAAAAAAAAAAAAAAAAAAAAAAAAAAAACCAAGCATTTGACAATGTCAGAAGAACCTTCTCCACTAGGTGGGAAGTGGTGGGGATGGGATCTTTGACTGAGAGGGGAGTGGTCTTCGTGGGACTAAGTCTGCATTTCTGGTTTCTTTCAGGGTGGCAGCACGCAAAGAGCATCCCTGTCTCTCAAGGGGTCATGGCCTCCATGTTGCTCGCCCGGCACCTGGCCTGCAGCTTCCAGCACAGCTACCGCCTGCTGGTGCCCGGTAAGCGCCAGGGGTCTTGAAAAGAACTGGTCCTAATGGAAGACACCATCCAGACTAGGGATTCCTGGGCTGGAAGAGCCCTTGGGGATAAAGGGACCAGCCAGTGAGTGTTCCTGGGACTGTCCCACTGTATTAGTCTGTTCTCATGCTGCTAATAAAGACATACCCGAGACCGGGTATTTTATAAAGAAAAAGAGGTTTAATGGTCTCACAGTTTCACATGGCTGGGGAGGCCTCACAATCATGACGGAAGGTGAAGGAGGAATAAAGGCACGTCTTACATGGAGACAGGCAAGAGAGCGTGTGCACGGGAACTGCCCTTTATAAAACCATCAGATCGTGTGAGACTTACTCAATTAACTCTCATGAGAACAGCATGGGAAAGACCCAATCCCATGATTCAGTTACCTCCCACTGGGTTCCTCCCACAACACGTGGGAATTATGGGAGCTACAATTCAAGATGAGATTTGAACGAGGACACAGCCAAACCATATCACCCACTATCCATAAAACTATCACCATCGCCACCTCCTTTCCCTCTCCCATCTCTGTCATATGATCCTGTCCCACGTGCCTCAGTGGGACGGGAATGGATCCACCCTGGAGCCACTCTGCCTGTAGATAGGCGATGGCCTCCACAGCCAGACGGTCCCAGGCCATCTCTGCAGGGACCGCTGGGGAAATCACGCATCTGGGGTTGCTGCTAAGGAACAAAGAAAGCCATAAACAACTCCGAAATTGACCTAAAGGCCAACTGTGTTTCAAAGTCACTGGATCACTGGACGGGAGGCATCATCTTAGGAATGTGTCACCCCCACTCCACCCCACACCCATGGCCACCTGCACAGGCTCCTTCTTCCTTCTGTTTGACCTCTTTGAGACCTCCCTCCCAATAGTCCCACGAGGCAGACCCGAGTGAATCCCATTTTATAGGTAAGAGAACTGAGGCTCAGAGAAGCAAAGCTAGTTGCCCAAGGTCACACAGCCACTCGCATGCAACTCTGTCCAGCTCCGATGCTAAGTACTCCTCCAGGTGCCTCCGTGTGGCTCTGGAGACAGAGCCGCCAGCAGGAGCGTCCTTTCGGATGCCCCGAGATTGGCCTCCTACAGAGATATAAACTGCGTGGCCTGGGCCTGGCCATGACATAGGTTCAGAAAGACCAGTGAGCTGGGCGCGGTGGCTCACGCCTGTAATCCCAGCACTTTGGGAGGCTGAGGCGGGCGGGTCACGAGGTCAGATCAAGACCATCCTGACTAACACGGTGAAACCCCGTCTCTACTAAAAATACAAAAAAATTAGCCGGGCGTGGTGGTGTGTGCCTGTAGTCCCAGCTACTCGGAGGCTGAGGCAGGAGAATGGCGTGAACCCAGGAGGCGGAGCTTGCAGTGAGCCGAGATGGTGCCACTGCACTCCAGCCTGGGCGACAAAGCGAGACTCCATCTCAAAAAAAAAAAAACAAACAGAAAGACCAGTGAATCTCCAGTCTGTCCCCAGCTCTCTCAGAGCCCCTGTGCTTCTCATCACAGTGTCCCTTGTTAGGCCTTACTGCCTTCTGAAGACAAACTGCTAGCCATGTGCTTGGTCTGCATGTTGAATGCTGGTATGTATGTCCTGGGTGGAATAAACGGTAGGAGTGTTCGCCCCTCCCCAGGGAGTATTAGCAGGCTTGATTTTAAAATAAACATGTTGGCCGGGCACAGTGGCTCACAACTGTAATCCCAGCACTTTGGGAGGTGAGGTGGGCAGATCACCTGAGGTCAGGAGTTCGAGACCAGCCTGGCCAACATGGTGAAACCTTGTCTCTACTAAAAATGCAAAAAAAAATTAGCCGGGTGTGGTGGTGGGTGCCTGTAATCCCAGCTACTTGGGAGGCTGAGGCAGAAGAAGCACTTGAACCCAGAAGGCAGAGGTTGCAGTAAGCTGAGATTGAGCCACTGTGCTTCAGCCTGGGTGACAGAGCAAGAAAAGAAAGAGAGAGAGAGATAGAGACAGAGAGAAAGAGAGAAAGAAAGAGAGAGATAAGGAGGGAAGGAGAGTAGCAGGGGAGGAAGGGAGGGAAAGAAAGAAACTAGCTGACTAGCTGGGCACAGTGGCTCACACCTATAACCCCAGCACTTTGGGAGACTAAGGCAGGAAGATCGCTTGAGCCCAGAGATTTAAGACTAGCCTGGGAAACATAGGGAGACCCTGTCTCTATGAAAAATACAAAACTTAGTTGGACATGGTGACATGTGCCTGTAGTCTCAGCTACTGGGGAGGTTGAAGCGGGAGGATTGCTTGAACCTGGGAGATTGAGGCTACAGTGGGCCATGATCATGCCACAGCACTCCAGCCTGGGTGGCCTTGTCTTCAAATAATAATAATAGATAAATAAATTTTTAAGGACACTAAGAAACTGACCTTGGTATGTTACCATTAACCAAACTCCAGACTTATTTAGCTTTCACTCATTTTTCCTTTAAAGTCTTTTTTTGCTCCAAGATCCAATCCAGGTACACGTATTGCATTGATTTGTCTCATCTTCCATGGCCTCCTCTGGTCTGTGACGGTTTCTCAGTCTTTTCCTTATTCTTCTTGACCTTGATAGTTTCGAGAAGTTATCAATGGCTTTTGAAGTTTTGCTTTTCCTTTTTCCTTTTCTTTTCTTCTTTTTTTTTTTTTCCTTGTGTGTGTGTGTATGTGTGTGTGTGTGTGTGTGTGTGATTTTGAAATGGAGTCTCGCTCTGTCACCCAAGCTGGAGTGGTGCCGTGGTACAATCTCAACTCACTGCAACCTCCACCTCCCAGATTCAAGTGATTCTTCTGCTTCAGCTTCCCAAGTAACCGGGATTACAGGCACCTGCCACCATTCCCAGCTAGTTTTTATATTTTTTGTAGAGATGAGGTTTCACCATGTTGGCCAGGCTGGTCTCCAACTCCTGACCTCAAGTGATCCGCCCATCTTGGCCTCCCAAAGTCTTTGGATTACAGGCATGAGCCACTGCATCCAGCCGACGTTTTGCTTTATTTATTGATTGATTTATTTATTTATAAGAGAAGCATATTAATGTTTACCCATAATTATGCTAAAATAAATCAGAAAGATGTAGTTTTGGAGGGCTCCAAGTCAGAAACAGAGTCTGGCACAGATGATCCATTCATTCCATAACTAAGGCTGTTGAGCACCTACTGCATGCCAAGTGCTGTCCTGGGTACTGAGGATGTGGCAGTGAAGAAAGAGATGTGGCTCTTTGGAGCTCTAGCCTGGTGGCACATGTGGCACCATCTTTAAAGGTCATTCTCAAGGACATCTGAGCCTTCTTAAGGAGACACCATGGGAAAAGTACTAGATCAAGATTCATATGATTGGGTTACCGGCTTCACCACACATTAACCAAGTGAGCCTAACCGATACACCTTATCCAAGACTCGGTTTTCTCATCAGGAAAATGGGTCTAATAATCGTATCCTTCCTATTTCACAAATTTATTGCATTAGAAGAAATAGTTCATATGAGCCAGGCACAGTGGCTCATGCCTATAATACCAACACTTTGGGAGGCTGAGGCGGGTGGATCACCTAAGGTCAGGACGTCAGGACCAGCCTGGCCAACATGATGAAACCCCGTCTCTACTAAAAATACAAAAATTAGCTGGGCATGGTGGTGCACACCTGCAATCCCAGCTACTTGGGAGACTGAGGCAGGAGAATCGCTTAGAACCCAGGAGGCGGAGGTTGCAGTAAGCCGAGATTATACCACTGCACTCCAGCTTGGGCGACAGAGCAAGACTCCGTCTCAAAAAAAAAAAAAGAAATGGTTCATGTGAAAGCACTTTATTTGTATTTACAGTAAGGTGGGAAGTGTCCTAACTCCCATTTTACAAGCATAGAAATACAGGCACAATGCGAAAAAAAAAAAAAAAAAATAGAAGTGGCTAAATCACAGAGTTCCTTACCTTTACCTCTTCTGCATTTACTTGGCTGGAACTGAATCCTTTTTGGCACATTTATGATTTAGAAAACCATATGGTGAGATTTTGTCTTTTCTTTTGACTTATTGATTTGGGATATCTAGTAAGCCAGAATATGGCTTTTTAAGAATACTAAAACACAGTGTTGGCAAAGATACAGGAATATGTGCACTCTCCTACACTGCTATTAGGCAAGTAGCAACCAGGGGAAGGGTTAAAAAATGATAGGAATTACAGCTTACTTTTAATTCAGTTAGCCTTTACCACCACTCCTTAAGGTAAAAGAAACTGCAAGTCAGGGAAATTAAGTTGCCAGAGTCACAGAGCTAATTAGCAGCTGAGCCAGGCTTTTGAGCTAAGCCCAGTTGGCTCCAGGACCCAAGCCACTGTATTAGTTGTCTGCTGCCACATAACACATACCCCCAAATTTAGCAGCTTGGGATCCTATGTTTATTATCTCACAGTTTCTGTGGTTTGGGAATCCAGGGGTGACTTAGCCAGATCCTCTGGCTCAAGGTCTGTGATGAGGGTGTAGTGAAGCTGTCAGCTGGGGCCGTGGTCTCATCTGATGGTTCAACGTGGCGGTTGGAGGATCCACTGGTAGTCCCACTTATGGGGTTGTGGCTGGATTCAGTTCCTTGGAAGCTGTCAGCCAGAAGCCACTCTCTCAGTTCCTTGATATGTGGACATCTTCACAGAGCTGCTTACAATGTGGCAGTTGCTCCCTCAAAGCAAGAGAGGGTGCCAAAAATGGAAGCCTCAGCTTACAACCATACCCACAGTGTTTTCCTGCTTCTCCATGGTATCTCCACGCATCAGGTCACTGTGAGGCCATTAAACATGATGATAGTTAACAATCTGAGGTGGTGTTCCCAATGGCACCATTTTATGCCTCCTCAAAACTAATAATCTTTTTTTTTTTTTTTGAGGCGGAGTCTCACGCTGTTGCCCAGGCTGGAGTGCAGTGGCGCGATCTCAGCTTACTGCAAGCTCCGCCTCCTGGGTTCAAGCGATTCTCCTGCCTCAGCTCCGAGTAGCTGGGGACTA